CTGGACATGTCCAAACCACTGTCCCTCCTCTGGACATGTCCAAACCATCTCAGTCTGATCTCTCTAACTTTATCTCCCAGTTGTTCAACCTGTGCTGTACCTCTGATGATCTCATTCCTGATCTTATCCATCCTTGTCACTCCTAAGAAGAACCTCAACATCTTAATTTCTGCTACTTCCAGTTCTGTCTCCTGTCTTTTTGTCCATGTCTCTGTCTCCAGACCATATAACATAGCTGGTCTCACCACTGTTTTGGTAGTTGGTACAATATCTCAAATGCTACATAGAAGCTAAAAGAAGAAACAACAACAACAACAAAATGAAACTAGTTTAAGGCTCAACGTGACCAAAGTCTAACCTAAAACTTGATCAATTAAGCAGACAGGTAACTTCAAGGTATATGCAGAAAAGGGCTGGTTAAAACTAGCAAAGCTAAGAAACTCAAAGTAACATTGTGAGGTCTCTGTGTGTTTGTTTTCATGGAGATTTTCTGGTCCTTAATGATATTTTGCATCTTCAGTCTCGTGTTTTCTTCTCATCTAGTCCTGCTCTGCCTCTCCTGATCCTCGACTTACCCCAGGTGTTTGTAGCTGTCTCTCATTGGTGTCCTCTTTATATACTTGTCAGTCGTTTTCCTTGTTCGTGCGTTAGGTGTCTCACCCTCGTGTTCCAGTGCCAGCTCTGTGTCTGCGCTTTTTGCTTTTGTTTTTGTAAATTAAGTTAAATTAATGTTTTAATAGACTTTCTTACTTTAATCTTTGAGTTTCTGTCTGCAACCTGGGTTCAGCACTGCACAAATATGACATGCAGAATAGCAATTGGAAGTTAAAAGTAGCAAAAGGCTAGCTAAAACCTAGCAGAATGTAACAGCAATAAAAAAAACGAGGCCTCATGTAATACGCAGTGGACACTGTGTCCTTTTGTTGAAGCGGGACAGCAGCTGCTGATACAAGCGTGTCCTCTGGAGACACTACAGCATATCCACTTACAGCAGCATTTCTGAGTGACAGGGCAAATTGTTCTAAAAACAGTTTTATGTGCAAAATATCTTGGGAGTCAAACATGTCATCCACACTTTCACTTGTTCAGTCTCCTGGCTGTGACTTGAACAACAAACTGAGCTAAAGGGACGGAGCTGCACAGGATGAGCGGTTGTGTCTCAGTATTCCTACATCTTGAATGTATCTGTTAGCATTGTGTACACATATATATATATATATATATATATATATATATATATCCATATATGTATCCATATATGTCCTCTTTGTCTTTGTCAACTACTGCCACGACAGAAATTGTTATAATTTAGGTGGTTTTACAGTTATTATAATGAGCTCTGTAACAGCTGTGTTAGTTTGGTAGTAGCTGAGATTCATGTGACAGTAATCGTTTGAAGGCGACCAACAATCCTTATGTTACACTAACATCATGGTGGGTCCTGTTTCCTGACAGGAGGTGAAACCAGCTGATGTCGGCAGCAAGCGTGGGATGTGGGAAACCAAGAGAGGCTCTACACCATCTAAGGTAACACACACACATACACATTATAAAATATGCTTGTTGTTTCATTCAGTCTTAGTGTATAAATTACAGCAGCTACACCAAATATACCTTCTTCTTTTTTTTTTGGTATTTATACCAGTTTTTAATGAAAAGCTTTTGGAAAATGCAGAAGCTTTGAGGGGGTTCATGTACTTTGTAACATTGTTCTGTGGATCCTGGATTTTTAGAAAGTGAAACACCAGAATCACAACTTAGTAATTTATTATACTCAGTCCTCTTCTCAGCTTCATACCTGGAGTGTATCGCTTTGTATTAAATTCTCAAAATGAAAACGATGTATTAATTTTCTTTGCACGATGAAGGAAATGTCTTCTATAAGTAAGAGTTTGATCCACAGGTGGTCCCAGCTTAAATAAGTGAATCTACACTTTCACTTTTCAAAGAAGAAACATAAATTCAACTGCACAACAACTGAACACTGAAGAACATCTGTGTAGAACAACTGCACTTTGAGCAAGACACAAATTTCTCTGCACCACTGTCCAGGAAGGGCTGAACTTTTCTGAATCAGACAGTTGACACTGATGCACTTCAGGAAACTCAAATTGAATTACACAACTGCCATGTAAAGTCACAACTGCCATGTAAAGTCTTACCCAGGGGTGGAAGTAACAAATTACAAATACTCACGTTACTGTAATTAAGTAGATTTTTTGGGTACATGTACTTTTATGAGTATTTCTTTTAAGTGTGTAATTTTACTCATACTTAAGTACAATTTAGACCATGTAATCTACTTCACTACTTTTAAAATAGAAGTGTTTACTGAGTACAGCTGCAATTTGAATTAATATTTAAACCGTTCATCTGCATCTTTGTAGCCAATAAGACTCTCAGATCATGAACACATCAATTACCTATGATGTAATCAAAGTACAACTCTGTAGAGCAGAGAGTCATTTATGGACCCAAGATTTGGAGAAAAAGCCAAAATGGAGACGGAGGACAAACTGTCCACAGAGAAAACGACGAGGTAAAGGCTGAGGACGTGTGCACGTGGCTGTACCTGGAGGAATGTTTCATGTACAGAGGGTGAAAAGGAGACAGGTCCAGATGTAAACTGTGTTTGATCTCTACGGTGACAGCAGCTGACAAGACTTCATCTAATCTCAAAACATATTGTGGTATACGAGGTTTTACAGCTGCCTGTATGATATTAATGTTTATTATTTGAATGTGTGAGTTATAAGTTTGGCTACGTATGCAAAGATCTTAGATGTTGTCACTTCCATCAGTTTGTCTGGTACTAAAATAAGATGGAGCTACTGAGAGTCTGAGAAATAAATTTTGAATGTAGCTATTATATTTATATTTATATTTATTATGTACATTAAATCAAACAGAATGACTTCTATTGACAACACAATAAAACATCAAGTGGTTAAAAAGTCATTAATACTGTGAGTAGTTTTTGAGAAGAGTGTAGTGAGACACGTGAGGTACGTGTCACTTGTTGTATGACAAATATATGAATTATATATGCATACAATATTCACGAGTTCTTCATTTTTCTGACTGTAAATGTCGTGCATTGAATTTAACAGAAATGTAACGAGAGACGTTGTTTATCTTTGACCCATCAAATGAATGGAATCATTTATTTTCAGAATCAAAGTTTAACATCAAACATTTACATTAATTTGGCAAAATATGAAAATAATAACAGACAGTTTCACAGAAAATGAACTTCAAATCACTCGGCGGTGATTTGAGGACTTTGCTTCAGACATTTCTAAAAATATCTGTACTGATTTATGAGAGAGAGGTGAGTTTAAGAGTAAATTGAGATTTATCTTACAGAGGAATATGTGAGGGAGATTAATCTGTTTAACCAGAAATTGCACGCTTCGTCAGATCCTCAGCCCGTCCACGGTACACTTGAGTCGAAGAGGAAATCTTTACCTGGTTTGACGATAGATCAGCTCAGTAAGAGTCCTTCAGACTGTTTCAGCGCCTCCGTTCAGAACAGCTAGAAATCCTCGGAGAGTCGTGCGTGGTTAGTTCAAACAGAAGTATAATCCCAAACGTCCCTGGTTCTTCATAACTCCAAACTCTTCATAACCGGCTGCATCTCTCAGAACTCTCATTCTCTTGGACTCTGGAATTCATAATTCTCTAATCTCTATGAACTGAGAAGTTGCCACATTTTATTTGGGTCGACTTCCTGTTCAATTTAGAGCTTTCTGATTCGTGGAAGGACCAGAAAGAGGAGTGGATTTGTGACGTAAGATGTTATCATAAGTCAAGGATTGTTTACAACATACAGAAAAGATTATTGCAGCAACAGCAGACTTCGTGGAGTCTCACACTTTGTAATCTTTTCAAATAGTAAAACATGACATTTTTCTCGGTAAACATTTTAGTTGACCGAAAACCAACCTTTAACATACTTACGACAGCTTGCTCATTTCAGACAGAAAATCAAGAAAGGCATATTCAGGTGATTTCTTCTCTGAATGAGGAACAAAAATCATTACTTACTGTTTATGTAAAATAAAAATTAGTAGTTCTTTTCAACCTGTAAAGCATTGAGTAAACTAACACAATTTGATTATCAAAACATTTGTAAGACAGTAATGATTATAGAGGATTGTCTTTTCTGCTTGATTAATTCAAGAAAGAAAGTTCATCAGATGGTTCAGACTTATTCAGATCAATGAAAATAACAGTCTCTGCCATCTGGTAGATTTGAGGTCATCTGGTTCACTACAAGAGTACTTTGTGTTTTTACTTAAATATTTTTATAACAGCAGTACTTTTACTTGTAATTGAGTACAATTTAAGCAGCATAACAGTATTTGTACTTGAGTACAAATTTTCAGTACTCTTTCCACCTCTGGTCTTACTCTTCTTTCAATAAGTGAAGCTACATTATGACTTTTCAAAGGAGAATTCAGATTAAAAAACTGCACAACAACTGAACACGGGCGGCTGTGGCTGAGTGGTTAGAGCAGTCGTCCTCCAATGCAACAGTTGGGGGTTCGAATCCACCAGCAGTCACATGCCGACGTGTCCCTGGGCAAGACACTGAACCCTTCATTGTGCCCGATGTGTGTCCCATCAGTGTATTGTTCAATCAGCTTTGTATAGATCTAGTAGAGTGCTGTATGAACGGGTAAATGAGGCACAAATTGTTGTAAAGCACTTTGAGTATTTTGATCAGATAGAAAGGTGTTATATAAGTACAGTCTATTTACCATAACACTCATTTAAAACTGCAAACTGTCATGCAGCCACCCCCTCCTCAATGGTTTGGTTTACTAAGTGAACTAAGTGTATTAAATGCGTCCCTGGCCCAGCAATGGAGACGAGAGAATCCCCTCTCCTTCTTTCACAACCTGTGTGTCAGACCTCAGCCGAAGCTACACCCCTGCACCTGGTGGAGGGTGCCCACTCCCTGCAAGAGGCCGACAGGAAACTGACATGTGGGCTAGACAGGCTATATGATAATAATGTGTTTTATTTTTGTCAGGGACAAAGGTTAAGGATGTTTTTATTGCTATGGCTGAGAGCAATCTTCCCTCTGCTCTGAGAACAAGAAGCCCAAAACAATATCTTATCTCTGCCCATGAACCATATGTTTGAGTAGAAGAAGGCTGCAGCTGGCTTCAAGGACACCTCCTGAACTCTGTGAACTCTTCTGAGCTGCGAGGAGTATAAAAGTGAGCAGATAACATGGCTCAGGGCTTTTCCTGACAGTTTTCCATGTGCATACATCTGTGCACATGTAATGTGTGTATTTAGATAACCTCTTCTGAAATCTGACCATGCAAGTATAAATACAGGTTAAAAATCTTCTGGCATTGGGAATGGTTCTTTTGGATGTTAGTGAGAGAGATTTCCCAACATTTTTTAGTGGGAGGGTGGAGGCGGGGCCGGGCGTGGGCACTCGTGCCTCCCTGGGCAGCTGCTTATATCACCCATATCAGAAACCACCACTGGTTTGGTCCTATTTTAATGAACCAGCACATTTTCACAATGATGTAATAAATGCACATCATAAACAGACATGGTGGAAACAAATATAACTTTTTTTCCTGTGGCGTGCTTGTCCATCTCAAGCATGAATCTCTTCTTATAACAAAAGAATGTGATCTTTGTTGTATTAAAAACATTTTGACTGTGCATATTTTTAGAGAACAGCTGTATGAAGCTGAATGTTGAGGCCTGTGTTTCATCTTGAGTTGTTTTTTATCAGAAGTGCTGCAAAATGATTTTGCTTTATAAGATTTTACTCCACGTGTTTCTAACAGTGCATCCATAGATTCTGCCCCGTGTCACAGGAAACATTGTAGAGTATCACATTTATTTCTCATGGTTTGTTTGTCCACCTGTTTTTACCAAGCCTGGGAGTTATCCTGTACATTATCAATTCATAAAACATATCTATACTGAGTCACAATGCTTTCTTTTGTTGTTTTTCTTGTTTTCAGGTGCCAGTTGGAGGGAGAAGCAAGTTTACTTAGTGAGTTACAAATGGTGAGTTACACAACACTGCCCAAAGCTTCACCTACAAAACAACAGCAGCACAAGCTTGTGACACCCCCCCCAAACTATCTGTCACGTGTGTAAGAATTAGACCCAAAGATGCAGACTGGCTAACAATAGGAGCTAGAGTTAAAACTTTTTTTAAAGGATGATGTGGCAGCAACCATGAAAAAAATGAACAAAAAGCCAGAGGAGACATGAAGGAGAACTGGTCACAGTATAAAACACACACAATGCTAGGATGAGATGAAGTGAAAGTAATTGTATGGATAGGTGCTGATGAGAGCAGTGGAAACACCAACTGGGGACAGGTGAGACTGGGAGGGGCAGGAGCTGAAGGAGCAGAGCTCACTGAGGAGAAAAACAAAGATTAAGAAACAAAGGAAGTAACTTTAAAACTAACAAATGCCAAAAACAACCAACATGACACAGATCCTGCCTCTGTCTTTAATTAAAATATGTAAACATATTAAGCCTTTTAAAGAAAGACATTTTGATTTTTAAAAAAGCAAGTTAACAACTACACTTCTATTCTGTAGTTGAAGACGTTTCTCTTCCCATCTGTGAGACTTCGTCAGTTCAAAAAGTCAGCAGTGTGGAGTTCTTTCATTCAACCTTTATTTAGACAGGTTAGTCCCATTGAGCCTCGGGGACTCATTTACAAGAGAGACCTCACCTGGTCTCTGGAGACCTGGTTTTAACAAAGAGTGATGACAACAGTGGACAACAAAGACAACAGTAGACAAAAAGCATAGAAATTGAGAAGAACAAATAAAAGAAAATTGTATTACAAAACTAAACAAAAACAGCTAGCTTGTAAAGAGATGTAGGATACAAAAACAGGAACATGTCTGCATTGGTTTTTGCCATGAACTTAGACGTTTGAAGCCACTTAGAGAGGTCAAGGTCGAGAGCTTCAGATCTTTTTGTAAGATATTCCAGGAAACAGGAGCAGAGTAGGAGAAGGCTCTTTTACCTAGTTCAGTCCTCACTGAGGGAACACTGCAGGTAATAATGTCCTGAGAGCGCACGCTGTAGCTGCACTCACGCAGAGACATGTAGGAGGAGATGTATGAAGGCAGCAGACCAAGAAATTATTTAAAGATGAAAATGTACCAGTGAGAGAGTTTACTTGAAATTAATGGTGACCAGTTAACCAGTGAATACAGGGTGCAGTGGTGGGTACGGTAGTTACAACCAGTTTTGAATCTTAGTGCACCATGAAAGACAGAATCCAACATCTACACGGTGCTTGTAGGAGCGTTCATGTAAATAATGTCATCATAGTCAATGGAGGGAAGGAAGGTCGCAGTTACAAGGTGTTTCCTAGAATTCAGAGTTAGACAGGATCTGTTCCTGAAAAAGAAACTCAATGTAACTTTCACTTTCCTTACCAAACTTTCCACGTAGAGCTTAAAAAATGCTTCTGTGTTCATTCATATTCATCTGCTCACACAGACTCATGTTCGTGCTGCTGTTCGGTGTATTGTTTTTGTACTACTAGTGCTTAGCGTATTTTTAGTTAACAGATGACCTGACTGAAAAATGTTGGCTTGTATACCTGGATTATTGAGCATGGACTTTGTTATTTTTAGTTAACGTTTTTCTTAGTTCATATCTTAGATCTTATTACTGTTTTTCTTTTACATTTTATACTTTTGTTGGCTGTAACTGCGACCATGTGTACATTTTGTTCCACCTCATGTACCACATGTGGTGCGTATAACAAATAAAGAACCTTGAATCCTTGAGAAGAGAGATGCAAATCAACCAAGATACTCAAATATTTGTAGGAATCGACAAACTCAATAGGGGCACCATTTCAGGATGAAATTGAAGGAAGAACTGCTGGGACCAGCTTCCTGTTTGAAAACAGCATCACTTTGGTTTTGTCGGTGTTTAGGACAAGTTTGAGACGGAACAAATCAGAGTGGATGATGTCAAAAACTGATTGCAAAAGCTGGACAACCTTAGCAACTGTTTTAGCTCTACAATAAACAACTGTGTCATCAGCATAGAAATGGAAGGATGCATCAGGGATGCTCTGACCTACATTACCTATGTAGATTGTAAAGAGGGTGGGTCCTAAGACTGAGCCTTGTGGTACACCATTGTTGACTGTTAAATAACTGGAGGAAGTACCATTACGTTGAACACATTGCCTCCGATCTGAAAGATAGTTAGAGAACCAACCAATGGTATGATCTGAGAAACCAGTTTCTGAGAGTTTATGACACAAGATGTTCTGATCCACAGTGTCAAAAGCTTTAGACAGGTCTAAGAAAAGTGCAGCACAATAATCCTTAGCATCCAATGAGTTGTACATGTTAGAAAAAAATGCTCTGTTTTGTAACTTAAATAAAACAGAATAGTGTACAAAGGATCAGAAACCAGAGTTCACCTTGATCAGTCTCGGAGACGTGTGTTTGTTCTTTATTTGATGGTAAGAGGAGCAGCCGGTGACTGATTTATACCCCACAGGGGGCTCGTAACAGCTCCAACCCACCTACACTACTTTGTAGTAGCTGCTCGCTGTAATTCAAATCTGCTGCTGGAGATTTTTGGGCTCTGACTCAGCTCTGTGGCACCATGGTCCTATATTTAAAAACCTTCACCGTGACCTTGTTTCCCAGTATAAAGCGGGTTCCAGACTCCTGGGATGGCTGCCGTGTTTTGGAGGCATGCTGTTTGCAGAGGGCCACCTGGATTGTCCAACACTGTGCAGTGAGCTGTCACACATACCAGAGCTCAGCTGCTTCATTTTCACATTAAATCTGAGCGTTGTGGAGGATTACTGTCTGTCTGAGGAACATCTGAGCGTAGATCACCAGGCTTATTCTCTCGTTAATGGTTAAGACTTGAACTGCGACCCCACGTCCGCATGGACTTAAAACAAAATCACTACAAATGTAGCTTGAATTTGATTGACACATGGCAGCACACTTTCTTCTCTGTCTTTGAATTTTCTGTTTCTCGTCACATCGAGCTCCAAGTGTTGGAGCAGGAGCGTGTTGTGTCAGGTGTAGGCCTGAATAGTGATGCTTGTTTGAAGCCTCGCAGGTTCTTTATTAGATATGGACAGCTGAGCAGTGGAGTGAAGGGCAAACGACCAAGTTAAAATTATAAAGACTGTTCCATGTTGGACTGCAGCGAGCGTGTCCAGAGCTGAACGTCAGCTCAAGAAGTGTGGCTGCAACAGTTGTCTTCAGCAGCTCAGACTTATTTCACTTCACACTTTAAACTCTGTTCGTCTGCACATTAATGTTAAAGGGGTAGTTCAGATCTTTGAACATGGAGTTCTGTAGACAAGTTATGAACAATTAATATCTTACATGCTGTTTTCACCAGCCTCAGTTTGGAGGAATAATTAAATTCTGACTGGACTGATGAGGAGGGCCCCCAGGCTGCACAGGAGGTGCTACAACTAGCTGCTGCTGCTTCTGCTGGTGTCTGTGTTTGGTGTGCTCGTTTTAAGATGATATTTAAGATGTTTCCAGACGGTCAAAGCAGTTGGTCGCTTGTCCTGAGCCTGGTTCTGCTGGAGGTTTCTTCCTGTTAAAAGGGAGTTTTTCTTTCCACTGTCTCCTTTGTGCTTGCTCAGGATGAGACTGTGACAAAATGAAGACTCAACGTGTCTGCTGGCTTCCTTAGATAGAGAACATTACTAATTGGCTTTTATAATGTATGGTTCTGTTCAGTGCCCCGAGACTACTTCTGTTGTGAATTGACATTGAAATTTCAAGGAAGTCTCCAATATGTCTCAAAGTGTTTGCAGGGGTCTGCAATATCTCGTGTCAGTATCAAAGACTTGTAATCTCATCTCTTGTGTTCTGAACATGTTCAGAACGTTTGTGTGATGAATGTTCTCTTTAAAAACTGACACAGTCGTCACAAGCAGATCAAACTTTTAATGCAGTTTCTGTACATTTAGGTTGCTACAGTTGTGTTTGACATGAAAACATCCATCCATCATCCATCCATCATTCTGTCCATCTATCAATCCATCAATCCATCATCCATTCATGCATCTATCATCCATCATCCGTTCTACTGTCCGTCCATCCATCCATTCAGTCATCCATCAATCATCCATGCATCCATCCATCCATCATCCATCCATCCATGCATCCATCCACCCATCCTTCTGTCCGTCCATCAATCCATTCATGTATCCATTCATTCATTCATCCATCAATCAATCCATCCATCCATCCATGCATCCATCTTTTTTTTTTTTACCCGCTTCTTCCTTTTTGGGTCATGGGGGTCACTGGTGCCCATGTCCAGCAGTCACTATGTGAGAGGTGGGGGACACCCTGGACAAGTCTCCAGTCCATCACAGGGACACATAGAGACAAACAAGACAAACAACCATTCACTCTCACCTAGAGACAATTTAGAAAAAATACCTCCCCCCAAAAAATAAATACCGGTAAATAAAATCCAATGTCATAGACCTGAGTGTTCCTGTCTAATAAAATTTAAAAGAATGGGCCAAAAACTTTATTTCTCATGTGTACACACAGGTTTAATCATGAATGTGGGGTCAGCTGCCAAGCTGGGTACAATATGGGTGGGGGTGGCTTATAAAATAATCCAGTAATTCTCAGTGGGGTCATCTGGACAGTTTCTTTTGTATAGAGATGTTTCGCCCTCTATCCAGAGGGCTTTGTTGCCTTGAACCTCTTTGGCTGTGGCTGCCTGCCTGGGAGGAGTCGACGAGGGACAGGACGGCCCCCAGAAACCATCTTAGCTCCAGCAAACTGGTTGGTCCACTTGAGGAGTTTACTGCTTGGTGGGGAAACAGTTTACTGGAACTCCTCTGACTGATGAAGCCCTCCGGATAGAGGGTGAAACGTCTCTATAAAAAAGAAACTGTCCAGATGACCTGACTGAGAATTATTGGATTTGGTACCTGGATGATTGAGCATGAACTTTGTTGCTTATAAAATAATGTGCATAGTCTCAAATAAAGTTTTGCAAGCTGTGCACACAAAAGGAGACCGTGTTTGGTAAGTTTGTTTCAGAATGCTGTCACATGGCTGGCTGGTTTCATGGTTGGAAACTCTCAGAATTCTGTGGGACTGACGCACACAAAAAAAAAAGTCACCCATTTTCTCACAATTTTGAGTCACCAATTAGTCTCAGACAGTCACGATGTTTAGCTGCTAGCTCACCAGTCCAGTCAAAATTAAACCTATTCCCCCAAACTGAGAGTGTATAAAGAGCTATTTCCAACATGTAAGACTGATCCCAGAGTTGATCCCTGTTTCAGATGATCTGAACCATCCACTGCTCATGACTAACAGATCTGTGCTGTCCTTCTGTCCTCAGGTGTGAGGACCTCACCAGTGATGCCATCAAGCCTGACCAGATGGAGATCTCTGTCATCATATGTGCAGCTTTGCCCGTTCATCACTTCTGCAGTTCAGAGACAAGAGTCACTGTAACTTGTTAGAGCTTCGTCTGTTTAAAAGTTCTCAGCTGTGTGCTCAGCTGACCCCGGCAGGTGTTAACTCACATCAGTACTTCTACATGTTGTCACAGAAGCCTCTTGGAGACACCGACTGTTCGTGTCCATGCTGTTAGATTATGTTCACTCAGTCTAATCATCCAGTAACGTGTTTTGGTTTTGTTTGCTGCTTTAATAATGTGAGCTACACCAGAACCTGCAGCTCAGACGGTCACAGCCCGAGCACGTGCAGGAGAAAACTTAGTTTGCTTCAGATTACAAAGAGTTTCGTTTAGAGCTGACATTATTGTGTTTTCATGCGAGCTAATATCTAACTGTGTTTTTCTTTTTATCTACTTGTTTTCTGTTATTTTTTATGTTTGAAGATTTAAAAAAATTTAAGGAGAAAAACAAATGTTTTATAGAAAAATAGAAAACATGATTTTTTTTTTAAAAAGATGAACTTTAACCCATTATTGGAGCTCCACTTCCAAACTGAAACTCATCGTTCGTGCACGTGTTGGATGGACTGACACGCAGGCTGTACAGATTCATGCTCATCACGTGATATTTTCTTTGTTAACCCAATTTAACCTCTTTGGTCTCATGCGCTCATAAAACCAATATTTTAATTTGTGGCCTTGGTTCAAACACAAGCATCACCAGTTCTGGTTCCTTCAGATGCTCAGCTTCATGTAAAGATTAAATGTGTGCAGGTACAGAACAACATCACCCTCTGCGTTGACATATGAACACTGAATATGTATTCAAAACACAAAACAGCCTCATAATTACACTTTTAAAAACTGATGAAGTTTGAAGAGCCTCCCCACCAAAGGTCACTTGAACCGGGCAGGTCAGTGCCTGCAAACTTGATGGATAAGTGAGTCATGCTGATTAAAACTGAAGTTTATGACTGAGCGTTATGTTTACTCTTTCCATTGGAGAGAGGATTTTTTTTTTCTGTAATCTCCAAAACTTTAGAAATCACAAGAAGAAGAAGACATCTGTGTTACTGTCAGCAGCTAAAGACCCAAACTGTGCAACATTTCAGTTTATTGCTGTCTTGACTCGTGCCAGATTAACCTGATATTTATTTTTTCAAATAGACCCCATCACGGCCCCGTGTCTCTACTGCAACAACCAGCTCTTAATTAAAATGTATCAGTGATCGGCACCAACATAGAACATGAACCCTGTTGTCTTGAAGTCTGTAATTAAGATAAAAATGATCAAACATAAGAAGCTAACATGTACTGTGTGTGTCTATAAGTGCAGCTGTGGTAGAATTTATGTTTGAGCTGTTTGACATTATTGGCTTTAGCAATAAAAACCATGAAAAAAAAAGTTTCTTTTGTGTTTACTACAAGAAGGAAATGTCAGTCCTAAGTACTTCTAACCTACAAAGCCCTCAACAACCTAGCTCCGTCTTATATTACAGAACTTATTGTTCCATATTTTCCTAACAGAGCACTTCACTCTCAGACTGCAGGTTTACTCGTGGTTCCTAGAGTTTCCAAAAGCAGAATGGGAGGCAGATCTTTCAGTTATCAGGCTCCTCTCTTTTTTTTTTTTTTTTTTTTCTTTTTATCTTCTTGATGGCCTCCCTTCTCCCCTTACAGCCATCCTCTCCACACCATTATTATGAAATATTTATTATAGTGACTATCTAGTGTAGGGTTTTTTTTTTTTTTTTCAGGCTCCTCTCTTGTGGAACCAACTTCCAGTTTCTGTCCATGAGGCTGAGACATTGTCCAGTTTTAAAACTAGGCTTAAGACTTTCCTTTTTGATAAATCCTATATTAGGGTTGGCTTGGGTTTCCTGAGCTGTCCCTTAGTTATGCTGCTATAGGCTTAGACTGCTGGAGGACAAACTGACCACATTTCATCACTCTGCTGCTGTCTTTACTTACTTTACCTGTTTGTATTTGTAAATATTTCTATCGTAGCGTGTTTTTATTCTCTTACCTCCTATAGAAACCTGGACCTGACGTTGTGTGCGTTTGATTCTCCTTCCTGTCCTCTCAAACCCAACTGATCGAAGCAGCTCATCCTGAGCCTGGTTCTGCTGGGGGTTTCTTCCTGTTAAAAGGGAGTTTTTCCTTTCCACTGTCTCCTTTGTGCTTGCTCAGGATGGGAGACCGTGACAAAGTGAAATGCTGGTGAAGATTCTCAGTCATCCAGGACATGATGAATTCAAAAAGCGTTCAATACAAAAACAACTGGACTTTATTTGTAACAGAAAACGTTTCGCTCCTCATCCAAGGAGCTTTCTCAATACTGTGACAAAGTGAGTGACAAAGTGAAGAGTCAACACGGTCTGCTGCTTCTTTAAATAGAGAACTTTACTAAATGGTTTTTACAAAATGCTTTTGTTCAGTGCCCTGAGATGATTTCGGCTGTGACTTGGTGCTATATAAATAAACTGAAATTAATTTAAATTATTTGTGAAGTTAGAAATATTGTTCTTTTGGTGGTGTAGACACCTCAGACTGTGTAACGGTGCGTGTGCATGTAACCTCATGTGTCCTAACAATAGCTGATCAGCTGCAGGGTGCTGTGGTCACATGACACCAAAGGGCTGGACTTTGTCTCCTTGTTGCTCACAGAGCTCCAGTCCAGAACTAGTTTCTGAGCTCCTGGGGCACAGGTAAGATTTGTCTTGTATTTCAAATAAAAAAAAATCAAATAACATCTTGTTCAGCTTGAATATCTTCTCTAAGACTCGAACTAAAAACTCTTCTTCACCTGTCAAAGCATGCTGGGATGTTCTGCTGCTGCGTCTAACATTTTCTTTAAATATGGTGGAAAAAATGCTTTGATATAAAATAAAGATAAACAGAAGTAAAAAGTTAACCAAACTTTTTACTGAAGTATTGTTCTCAGGTCCAAGTGTGAAATTTAAGTAGAAAAGTAAGTTTTTACCACAAAAAAAGTTTCTTCACTGTGAATTTTTTTGTTTCCTAAGACTTTTATTTAATATATTTATTGTCATTATATTTTTCACAATGAAATTTTAGGTAAAAGGTAAAACTTGGGTTTTACATTTTAAATAAAATTCCTTTGCTGTGTAATAAAGTGATTAATTAAAGGATGATAATCGAGGTTACAGAAAGCCTGTTTTAGCATAAATTACTACAATAAACTAATTTACAAAACGTATATAATTCATAAATATTTATCATAAAACATCACAGTTTCAGTTCTTCACTGAAGTTTGTTCCCATCAACACCAGACTGTATTCTTGTTGGTGTAATTTTAAGAACTTCTGGCAGCTGCCAGTAATCTACTGTAAATTTTCATTGTGTTTTTCTTGTATTTTAATTGTTTTTACAGTGTATTTCTCTGTAGCTCAAAATAAAACACATTTAGTTTCTTTCTCCTCTACATCCCAAATGTACAGCTTTAATAACTGCCAGTTGTTTTATTTTAATAACCCACTAAAACTTGTAAAATCTGACAGTGGATGTGCATGAATCAATCAGTGAGCAGAACTCCCTCCTGAGAGCAGGGTTTGCTCTCTGAAGTACGTGTTTTTATTCTGTGTGGCCCGCTGCCCTCTCTGCTGTGCTGTTTAATGATCACAAATGTTTCAGTGTAAATATAGTTTGATGGGAGTCCATTCCACAGAGATCAACCTGAACAAAATGTCTGACACGGAGGAAGTAACTGGCGGAGAAGCTGAGTATGTGATCTGTTTCACTTTTCTTTCTTCGTGCATTTATTTTCATTTAACCTTTATTTATACAGGTTAGTCCCGTCGAGGCACGAGGACTCGTTTTCAAGAGAAACCTGCTTTACACAATAAAAGTTCATAAATTTGTAATAAAATGGTGAACCAGCTGTTTAAAGACAGGATCGGCTGTTAATGTTGCAACTGACACAGAATTGTTTTGATTAATCTTCTTTGTCTTTGTGCTCCTCTAAAGGGAAGGAGAAGGTAAGAAAAATAACACTTTTGTATTTTCTGATGAGTTTAACCCATTTCATGTAAGAAGCGATGACAAGTAACAGATTTAAAGGTTTGAACACAGAGCCTGGAGTGCATGAGTGGTTTCTGTGGTTGAGAACTACTCAAAAGGGGGCAACTGTCGCACAGTGGCAGGACAGTCGTCTTGGGCCCACAAAGTCACAGGTTCGACTCCCTGCCGCTGCCCCACTTGTGTGATGGGTTTAATACAGAGTGTGCGTGCAGTGATGACACGTCACTTCAGTTCAAAAAGTCTAATTGACTTGCGTGCTCTTTATGTTTCAAATCATTTCACAAACTTCTGGTTGGTTTGTCGCCCTGATTAAAGGTCCACCTCCATTTTAAGTTCAGCATGTAGACCACCGGCCTACAAATTCATTTTCAAGCAATTTATTCTTTTTAAGGCACTAAAGCCAATCCACACTATGACATTTAATCCATTATGTGTCACAGTTTCTGTGAGCTTCTTTCCAGGACATACAGGTGCTGGTCATAGAATATCATGAAAAAGTTGATTTATTTCAGTAATTCCATTCAAAAAAGTGAAACTTCTATATTATATTCATTCATTACACACAGACTGATATATTTTAAATGTTTATTTACTTTAATGTTGATGTTTATAACTGACAACTTATGAAAACCCCAAATTCAGTATCTTAGAAAATTAGAATATTGTGAAAAGGTTCGATATTGAAGACACCTGGTGCCACACTCTAATCAGCTGATTCACTCAAAACACCTGCAAAGGCCTTTAAAGGGTCTCTCAGTCTAATTCTGTAGGTTACACAATAATCAGAAAGACTGGTGACTTGATAGTTGTCCATAAGACGACCATTGACACCTTGCACAAAGAGGGCAAGACACAAAAGGTCATTGCTGAAGCGGCTGGCTGTTCACAGAGCTCTGTGTCCAAGCACATTAATAGAGAGGTGAAGGGAAGGAAACAATGTGGCAGAAAAAAGTGTACAAGTAATATGGATAACTACACCCTGGGGAGGATTGTGAAAAAAACTAATTCCAAAATGTGGGGGAGATTCACAAAGAGTGGACTGCAGCTGGAGTCAGTGCTTCAAGAACCACCACGCACAGACGTATGCAAGACATGGGTTTCAGCTGTCACATTCCTTGTGTCAAGCCACTCTTGAACAAGAGACAGAGTCAGAAGCGTCTCACCTGGGACTGCTGCTGAGTGGTCCAAAGTTATGTTCTCTGATGAAAGTAAATTTAGCATTTCCTTTGGAAATCAAGGTCCCAGAGTCTGGAGGAAGAGAGGAGAGGCACAGAATCCATGTTGCTTGAGGTCCAGTGTCAAGTTTCCACAGTCAGTGATGGTTTGGGGTGCCATGTCATGTACTGGTGTTGGTCCACTGTGTTTTCTGAGGTCCAAGGTCAATGCAGCCATCTACAAGGAAGTTTTAGAGACTTCATGCTTCCTGCTGCTGACCAACTTTATGGAGATGCAGATTTCATTTTCCAACAGGACTTGGCACCTGCACACAGTGCCAAAGCTACCAGTACCTGGTTTAAGGACCATGGTATCCCTGTTCTTAATTGGCCAGAAAACTCACCTGACCTTAAACCCATAGAAAATCTATGGAGTATTGTGAAGAGGAAGATGTGATACACCAGACCCAACAATTCAGAAGAGCTGAAGGCCACTATCAGAACAACCTGGACTCATAACACCTGAGCAGTGACACAGACTGATCCACTCCATGCCACGCTGCATTGCTGCAGTAATCCAGACTAAAAGATCCCCAACTACTGAGAGCTGTACATGCTCATACTTTTCATGTTCATACTTTTCAGTTGGCCCACATTTCTAAAAATCCTTTTTTTTATGTGTCTGATGTAATATTCTAATTTTCTGAGATACTGAATGTGGGGTTTTCATTAGTTGTCAGTTATCAACATTAAAATAAATAAAAATTTGAAATATATCAGTCTGTGTGTAATGAATGAATATAATATACAAGTTTCACTTTTTGAATAGAATTACTGAAATAAATCAACTTTTTCATGATATTGTAATTTTATGACCAGCACCTGTATGTAAATATTTCTTGAAAGAATGCTCATGAAGCACTATCATGCACGTTTTAAACAAAGATGCTGCAAAGTGTCAACTCAGAGGTGAAGTTAGGGCCGACTTTCAGTGGAAACATCAAAAATCACTGATTCATAGCCACTTTTAGATTTGCTAAGGCTGATTAGCTGTGGAAACCAAATGCTGATGCAATGATTCGTTTCTCAGACGTTCATTAAAACACAACCATTCTGTCATGAGATATTTTGCTAACAAACAAATTCACACACACACATGCAATAAGACTTCAGTCTTGCCTTGTTCTTTACATATTGTATGCTTTGTGTTGGAAAGTATAATGAAGAGTGGAATTTCTGTAGTTTTTGCAAATTTGAATTTACAATCATCTTCTTGTTCCGAGGGTCTAAATCTTCTGTGAGCTTCTATGACTTTTAAATCCATCTATAATATTTCTTATCAGTAGGTTTGAGAAAGCTCGTTCACAATCATACGCAGAACACCAAATCCAGGATGTCACAGGATGAACTAAAGAAAGTTTTATGCTTAAGTTTTGATTCTGGGGATGCTGAGGTCAGGATAATGGATTTACTGCGGTGACGGAGAAGTTACTTCAGAGGACCAGCGGTTTCCAGGGGAAGGGAACTTGTTTTGTAAGAGTAAAGGTTTTCCTCAGTTGTTTGTTAATAATAACTGTTCGTTTTTTTACTGCAGATGAAACCAAAGTCAAGCCCAAGTAAGTTTTCAGTCACCAGTCCACGCCCGGCTCTTTTAGCACATCATTATATCAACAACGTGTTTCCATCACCTGCAGGTTCATGACAAATATTTCAGTCCCAAAGCTCCCCGATGGTGAAAAGGTGGACTTTGATGTGAGTTGAGTTTCTTTCAGAATGAATCCATTTGGATCAGAGTGTTTGAATGACATCCATGTTGAATTCTGATGGCAGGACATCTACAGGAAGCGTCAGGAGAAGGACCTGTCTGAGCTGCAGTCTCTGATCGAAGCTCACTTCGTCCAAAGGCAGAAGGATGAAGAGGAGCTCATCACTCTGGTTAACAGAATTGTGAGCATGTCAGTCTCAGAGGCGTCACTGCGTCAGTGTGTGTGCTCTGAGTGACGAGCTCTGAGTGATTTGTTTGTTTCTGTTCGTAGGAGAAGCGTCGAGCTGAGAGAGACGAGCAGCAGAGAGTCCGAGCAGACAGAGAGAAGGAGAGACAGACCAGACTGGCAGTGAGACCGCTCACCTTCCTGTCTCACACCCTTCAGCTCCTCTTCCACACATTAAAACATCCTCGTTCATTTATAAAGAATGTTCAGCTCAATCAGGAATCGAGTCCTAAACATTTTATATTCTTAGCTTTTATATTTTTTAATCTATTTAGCTTTATCAACAAACTTGGCTCCTACTGACATGCATTGAAATCTCTTCAGTTCCTCTAAAATCATGGATATGTTTCAGCATTGCTCTGTTAACAATAGCACACATACGTAGCTCGTATTAGCTTTCAGCTACTCAAGGTTTTTTATTGACATTTATCTGACACGTGGTACATGAGGTGGAATGAAATTGTGTCCTCTGGGTCCCAGTTACACCCAAAAATAGCAAAATGTAAAGTATAATAAAGAAACAGTATATAAGGATCTAAGATATTTGCTAAACAATAATAATATAATGTAACGCAGTGTATTAAACAGCAGCCTGAACATGAGTCTGTTGTGAGCATATGGGTATGAATACAGCAGCAATGCTAGCTGGTTAATTTGACCTTTTAATGGTAAATGGACTGTACTTGTATAGTGTCTTTCTATCTTATCAAGATACTCAAAGCTCTTTACAACAATCTGTGCCTCATGTACCCATTCATACAGCTCTATACTAGATCTATACAAAGATTAATCAGAGCTTTATCACATTCATACACTGATGGGACACAGGAGAGAATGAGGGGTTCACTGTCTTGCCCAGGGACACTTCAGCATGTGACTGCTGGTGGAATCAAACCCCCAACTCTTGTATTGGAGGATGACTGCTCTAACCACTCATCCACAGCTGCCCTTAAACTACAATTTTCTCATTTCAGCTTTTAGTGACTGCTTTACTACATTTAGGTTTCAGCTTCTGCTGTACTACTAATAACTATTAACTGCAGTTTTGCTAATTTTAGCCTGAAGCTATAGCTATGTTTTTTTTTTTAGCTTTTAGCTAAACCTTTAGGATTCAGCTACTGCTTTGCAAACCATTACATTTAGCTCTTGCATAGCTCATTTTAACTCTAACGTATGATTTTTAGTAATTTTGTAAACTACTTTTTAGCTCAAATTAGCTTTTAGTTATAATTTTGCTAATTCAAGAGTTTAATATCTTCCCCACACACCCCAGTGTGTTTAGATTTTTGATTTTAGCTTTTGTTTCTGCTTCTTTCTACAGTGAAATGCTTCATATTTAAACTAATTTCAGGAAAGTCATCCAGCCCTCGGCATTCATTCTGCATTTTTACAACAAACTGAAATGTTTTCAGTTCCTCCTCCAGTTAAAGCACCTGTTGCTCCTCATAGGAGGAGAAGGAGCGGAAGGAGCAGGAGGAGCAGCGGAAGAAGCAGGATGAAGACGCCAAGAAGAAGAAGGTCCTCACGAACATGAGCCAGCAGTACACGGCCGGACAGCGGGTCTGAAGCTTTCTGCAGTAAAATGCATGAAAATGTGACACGATGACCAACAAGCTTGTTTCAAACTAGAAGCGTTTTTATTTCAGAGATGAGATCAGTTGATCGAAGTGGATTAAAAAACATTTATTTCAAATGATCACCCACTGTCGTAGGTTTAACTGAGTTTTCATATTTTTAAACACATTCAAACAAAAGAACCGATGGCTGAATACATTAAATTTTGAAAATGATGTATTACTTTAATGAAAGTTTTTATTTTAAGGCATAAAACATCAACTCATCATGCATTTAAATAAGCTGTAGAACATATAGTTGATACTGTTCATGACTTAGTTATTTAAGAGCTCCACTCATGTTTGTTTTCTGGTTGAATGCAGACTGACAACAGGAGAGGCAAGAAGCAAACTGAGAGGGAGAAGAAGAAGAAGGCTCTGGCTGAGCGCAAGAAGCCTCTCAACGTGGATCATCTGAGCGAGGACAAACTCAAGTACGGCTCAGCTGTTTCTTGTTTTGCTCATGTTAAAGCAGGAATGACCTCTGACCTTGAACATAACCCTTAAAACGTGTCCGCTCAGGGAGAAGGCCAAGGAACTGTGGGACTTGCTGAAGGGGCTGGAAGGTGAAAAGTACGACCTCGGAGAGAAACTCAGACGACAGAAATATGATGTGAGTCAGACCGACTTCTGACTCCTGATTGGACATGGGATTTACAGTTCTCTACCGTGAGCCGGATCTTGTGGATCTGTTCCTTTCAAGTAGATGTTCAATTTTAAATAGTTACGAGGTACAGCCTGTGTCACCACCAGGGCTTTAACAGACTACTCGAGTAATAGACCGGTCGATTCCTAGGACATCTATCGAGTTTTTAAATTTCACGTCGAATATTCGCAGTGACGTCCTTGTGTCATGTGATCCGCACCGGGCTACTAGTAGAAGCAACCAAATGGATTCCTCCCAGCAGATGGACTGGGCAGAGCAGGCCCAGTCTTGGCAAACAGGTAGAAATGCATCAGTAGTATGGAAATATTTCACTAAAGATGAATCTTCCGGTTCAACTATCGTAAGGAAACAAAAAATGAATCAACTTCCGGACTGTTTGGAGCTTGTTGTGAACTGGTGTTATACCATATTATGTGACCACCTTATATTGTGACGGTAGGGGGTGATGTTGCATGCACTGTTGCAGGTCACGCATAGGCGTCGCAACCATTATATGTGATGGGGACATGCCCCCCCCCCCCCCCCCCACACCCACACACACTAAAGAAAGGTTACTTTGACCCCCCCCCCCACACACACACACACACTTTTACTATAAAACATTAGTTTAGTCTGCGCAGTTTCTTTCTTCATGACCGAATCCATTCCACTTGATTAGAAGGAGAATACTCAAGCCACTAAAAATCCACTCCAGGTTTTCCAGGTTACCTCCAACTCTCCAGCTTCCAGCAGCAGCAGTGTTTGTGTGCGTCTCCTCCGAGGGCACACAGGTGGAGGAGGTGGAGATACCTCTGTGTTGATCGCTCACCAGTTTAACAAGTTGTTGACCAGGGGGTTGAACATAAACATATATTCATGTTAGGATGATTAAGAAAGTGCAGCGCTACGTCTGTAGCATCTTAGCTTAGAAGTAACTGTGACGATGTTAGACGCTGCAGGTGTAAGAGACGCAGTGTGTGCAGGTGCATTAAAGTTGAAATGTCTTTAAAACCCTCACACCTTATTGTCCTCAAGCTTCATGAGAAACATCATTTAGATGAGTAGTGTTGAACACAAGTAAAAAAGTCTAGTGATGTTTTTTATTTCTCTATAAACACAAATAGTGCCGATCAGGTTGTGTGTTAAAGTACATTAAAGTTTAAATGTCTTTAAAACCCACAGCTGAATTCACACAAACTTAGTGAGAAACATGTTTTAAAAGAAATTAAAGTAAGAAAATCTAGATGAAATGTTGCTTTTTTGGTACACTAGTGCGCATGTACCACACACACAGTGCCCCCCCCCCCCACACACACACACACACACAGTGTCCCCCCCACATTACAGATGCTTCTGACGCCCATGTCACAGAATATGGTGTAACACCGGGTCCAATCGACCGAACCAGATAATCCTAATGCACGAAACAAGTTGGAAGAGCTGCCGCCTCTGTAAGCAGGTTGCCTTGGTTCAGATCTTAAAGATAATGGATGGATGGATCTTTTAAAAATGGGGGTTAGACGTTAACTTTAGTTCTCTAAACAGAGTTTGCTCAAAAAGCCATCTACGACAGGTAAGATATTGAATGTCTTTAAATTAAATCTATCACTTTAAACAGTTATTTTTTCTAAATTAAACATCATTTTTGGGTGAAAATACTTCTCTAGCTCCCAGAGTTGAGGTACAACACCTTTGTGCTTCCATGATGTCGTGTTTTATAGAAATGTTTGTGTTTTGCAGATTAACCAGCTGATCAATCGAGTTCAGGACCACCAGACGTAAGTCCACCTCTCTATAAAAACCCTTCTCTGGATTTGTCCCAGTTTGAGCTGCTTTCTCACATCGGCTGTGCTCTACAACTTCCTGTTAGGTTTCACATTTCCCCACTAGTCTGTCATGTATTCAATCAAAAATCTAAAGTTTAAAAATGAAGTTTATTCAAACTGTAAATCCACCATGACCCACTCTGAACTTTGACCATGTAGATTCAACAAAACTCTTCCAGACTGACCTCAAGCAGAAAAACAAATGTACTTAAAGGAAATAACATTATCATTGCTGCGCTTAAAGGAAGGCTCAACATATTTGCCCTTCAAACATTATTAGTTTATTTCCACATAATTATGTTTCAAGACATCAAACAGTGCCGTTTGATTTGAAGTACCATTTTTACTGTCGTGTCAAAACAAATCCTGAACTCAGTGATTGTTTCCTTTCAGGGCTAAAGGTCGTGGTAAGGGCAAGATGAGCGGCCGGCTGAGGTAAAGCTGCTGGGAGACGAGGCCGAGCGTCGCACCAGGAACTGACCGCAGTGTCCACAGCCAACGTTCTCATCGTCTTCTCAACGCGCACGAGATTCAAACAATAAATAAGCTGCTTGATCCACTCGGATGAGCTCATTGGCTTTTTGTGTTTATCCAAAAATAACACTGCTACAAGAATTCAAGCTGAACATGAATGTGTTAATTTAGCTTTGTTCCATGACTAATACAAAAATAATACTTCTGTTAACAGGAAACAAAAATAGGTACATGTTCACAATGAAAATATCTAAATTACCCAAAGTTCTTGGAAAATACTTTGAAGGGAAAACATAATTTCCCACCATTTAATTAGTAGATCTACATGTTTTTTTTTAGATTTAAATCAAATCTAGAGGAGCACATTCTTCAGTGAGGCTCCACGCAGCGGTGATCACTTGATCTCTGTATTTACTGTTTTCATCACATTAACTCGCAGAACGCTGAGCAGCCAGTCCTCACAGCTGAGTACAATAAAACTTTATTAGGATTCCCACATATGTCCACAGCAGTGCAGGTTCAAGTTGACGCTGAGATGCGTCTGATCAGTCTGATATATGACTCGGGGGTGTGCAGGTGATGGGGGGTCCTGGAGGGTTGGAAAGAGCTCAGTCTCTCACCACAGGTGGGTTTCCCTGATCTCTGTGATCACATGGCTGGCTTTCTGCAACGCCTGGACACAGAGGATAAACATCAACAACTCTTTCCATACACCACAAACAGAACAGTTGCGATGGCATCCATCTTGGATGGTTTTCGAGCGTCTTTCAGGCGCTGATGCATATTGCTGTTCATTGTCCATTAAAATGTTCCATCACATTTAGATGTGATGGCAGCTTACAAGAAGTCTTCTCAGTCTGCTGCAGGTCAAAAGAGAAACTATGTCATGGAAAACTGTTCTTTGTGTTTACTTTGAGCATTTTCCCCTGGTGAGCTCCAGCAGTACCAAGAAGAGAGCTGCTGCACCAAAATAACACGACACTAGAGGAAATGCATGTTTGTGCCACGTCACGGTTTGACTAATGAGAATAACTAAAATCTTACATTCTGTTTGTCTCAGCTACAACAATCTGTAATTAGGGAGTTGACTCATGTTTGATTGACACTGGTTCTTGTTTGTGTGGTCTGCTGTGACATCATGTAAACATCTGTCACCTTCAGCATGTCGGCAGCCTCGTGGCGTTTCTGAGCCATGTCCTCGGACTCTGTCAGCAGCTCATTCAGCAGGACCGTCTTGTATAACTGACCCACCAGCTCACTCTGCAGGCTGTCCTTCACGTGGTTCACCAGGAAGTGCATCACTGCTTTAGGCACACTGAGGCCAAACAGCGTGACGAGGGCAATAACAGCAAAGGAGAAACAAATCACATTTGTGTTGTATTATCTCTGTAAAAGGAAAAGTTAAAAAAAGAATAAACACATGGAACGCTGGTTAATTGTACCTGTCTTGGATATTTTTCCGAACAATAAGAAAATATGATTTGATGAGTCTCTCGATGACCTCACAGTCTCTCTGTTCCCGAGCAGATAGCTTCCTGGAGACTGGAACGGGCTGGACAAAAGGCATCAAAAAAAGCTCTTTAGTGTGGTGAGACAAGAGCAAAAAGCTTTAAACAATTAAAAGAGAAAAAATAAAAACAATTAAGGCTTTTGCAACTCCACAAACTTCACTGATGCAAAATATAACAAACACCTTGTCAGATTTATTTCAGTCCTTTTGTTCACTCTGCCATGAAAAACAAAGTAAAACAACTGAAAAGCACAGGAGGACAACAGCTACAATGAATATGAAGAGTGATTTTTATTTTTTACCAGCTAAATTAAATCTTTATTTCATGTCTACAACACAAAGAAGCAACCCGAACCCTGAATCACTCCACCTTCTCCCAACACTGCCCCCTTGTGTCAGCTCCAACAGGATGAGGTCTTCAGAGTGCAGCAGCACAGCTGTTATTCATCCAGGTCACATGAACACCAACAATCAACAACTAACAACTTTTATTGTTTTCTTTTGCTAAGAAGTCAAAAGATTACCTATAATTGCAGTTATAATCAATTCTCTTTTTCCATTTGATTATGTAAATAGATTTTTTGCATTTGGCAGCACGGTGGCTCAGCTGGTAGAGCTGCAGCCTCTAAGCGAGAAGGTCGCCGGTTCAAATCCCAACCGGAGGCCTTTCTGGGTGGAGTTTGCATGTTCTCTCCGTGCATGCGTGGGTTTTCTCCAGGTCCTCCAGTTTCCTCTCACAGACCAAAAACATGCATGTTAGATTGATGGGTAACTCTAAATTGTCTCTAGGTGTGAGTGAGAGAGTGAATGGTTGTTTGTCTCATTTGTCTCTATGTGTGTCCCTGTGATGGACTGGAGACCTGTCCAGGGTGTCCCCCGCCTCTCACACAGTGATGGCTGGACGTGGACACCGGTGACCCCCGTGACCCGAAAAGGAAGATGCGAGTAAATATGATGGATGGATTTTTGCAGTTGTGAATTACTTGAGAAAAAAATTAACATTTTATAAAAGTTTGGTTAGACCATTATTTTAGATCCATTTAACAGTATTTTTATTCTAATTCTAGTATTTAGGGTATAGATAAAAGAAATACTGCTTCATGGAGGCAAACTCTTCTTGGAACCAATCAAGAGTCTGTATCCAAGATTTCACCAAACTCCTCCCACACCAGTTTTGGCCTCAGCAACAGCCAGGACTGCAGCCCACTTGACCTCCCCATAGTCCCCAGAGGCCTCCAGAGTCCTACCAGCCAACAAGGTCTGATAGGACTCCATCTTGGTGGGGCCCCTGTAACCCACGTCTGGGCAAGGGACATTGAAGTCATTGCTGTTTTCTGTCCATATGAGTGTTTGGAATAGCTCTGTCTGGCCTGTGACCTAGGACCAGTCTGTCTTGGGAAACCCTACCAGGACCAATTGCCCCGGACAGCATAGCTCCTTGGAAAACAACGTAAGCTTTTTAAAATAAAAGTGACTTGCATGTTACTAAAGGGCCCGGCATCCTCCATCTCAAGTTGAATAGATGACACGCAGCATGCATCAGGACACACAGTCGTGGTTGTGAGACGTGTTTTCACACACACCTTTCATAGTCCATGAGACACAGGTGCAGAGCTCCAGGGAAATCCCTCCCACTGCAGTATACGTCACCACGCAGGTTTATTCCCACCAGAGCCTCCACTCCATCCCTGTATCTGCCATCTATGCCACAGTTTTCAGCAGACTGACTCCTCCATACACAATATCTGCATGATCTCCATCAGGAGTTTGTTCATTTGACTGTTTTAGTGTGTTTGAAGAGTCGTACCGCTGAATGTCAGAACACATTTTTACATTGATGAACACGCCCACACACTTCTGACCAATCACCACTTGGTGCGTACTCCTCGTGTTGAGAATGGGTGGATGAAGTTGAGAACAAACTGATGTGATTTTCGTCATGCAACCATGACAATGAGCCAATTTCACCGCTTCAGATGGAGACTGCAGGACCCTTAAAGGTCTGTATTAGTTCTTTTTCAGCCTCATTAAGGTTCTGCAAAGTGCCTGTAAGGAGTTTAATTCACCCATTCACACACCTTTTTGTTTTTATACACTTAGGCCCTATTTGTAAATCAAACGATGCCGGAACACAATAGCGGGCGGGGGTCTGTAAAGTCTGTAGTCTTTATATGCTCTGTCTGGAACAGGTCCCTCTTGTAAATGAGTCCATGTGGCTCAATGAGGCTAGCCTGTATAAATAAAGGTTTGATGATGATGATGATTTCCACGGACACGATGGGGGGAACTTAGATTTTTTTTGTATGTTAATTAGAGGAAAAGATCCGTGTTGACACGGACAGATTTTGTGTTTACATGCATCCGGAGGATTCCCCCCGCCCTCCCGAATCCACTGTAGTTACCATGCCAGGTCATTAGATGGCGCTGTGAATTTTGTACCTTCACCTAATGCACATGTGGCACGCGCCTTTCCCGTGAGCTAAAAAGCTCAGCTAACAACAATTTAACAACAATTAAAAGCTGGATTTTGGCTGGATTGTGGATAAGAGTGGACAGATTTGACACCAAGCGGGACCGCTTCGACTAACAGCTCCACAGCGGTCGCTGAGTGGACCAGAACCGAGTCGACGATGTCGGACTTTACTCCGTGATAATCAGTAGCTGTTTTACAGCAGGTAAATCAACATTCTTAATAATGTTAGTTTGTGTTTACTTCGGTTACAAAACAACCAACTGAATTTTTATTTTTTCCTGAAAGAAGAAGAAGAAGAAGCTGTACTTCCACCAGGCGGACCGGTTCTGAACGAGGCTCGGCCCAGATGCAGTGCAGAAAGATGTTGAAGAGAGTGAGATGTTGGATGAACTATTTATTTAAAATTCCCCTCAGTTTTTTTATTCAATCCATTCAATATTTTAAGTTGCATTAATCAAAGGAGTGACAGCCTGAACGAGCCAGATGAACAACGTGGGACCAGAGTCCAGGATGAAAACAAGAGTCCAGTTGTTCATTAACGTAGTTTACAGTTAACTTGTTTTAATAGTGTGTTCAGTGTAATTATCAGTGTTTGTGTGACAAAGTTTGTGGTGTTGAATAAATAAATAAAAATTAAACCTGATGTCTTTATTTTCAACTTTAGTGTTCACGCTATATGTTTAGCATCATTTTAAATTTGAATTACATAATGTCCAGATAGCTTCATTTAGCTCTAACATAAATACTGTTTATTATTATTAAACTCTTATTATTTAGCACATGATTTAGTATGTTATAGTGCAGCGTGACGTGTACGTGTGCCTCGTTCTATAAACAGTGATATTAGAACTGGATCAGATTGTGTCTCTTCCAACACAGATGTCGGTCACAGCACCTAGAATCTGACGCAGATTAACTACGAGGTTAAAATATATTCCATCAGTCGTAGTTCAGAAAGCACCGTATCTGCCGCCATGTTGATAGAAATATAGCGTCTGTTGGTGCGTGCGTGTGCGCATGTGGTTTAACACAAAGCCTCAGCGGGGGGTCAGCGAAAAACCTCCACTCTGGAAGGTGGGTTCAGAAACCTCCAGATTCAAAGAGGG